TCCGCTCTTCGCGCGATTAACAACACGTTGCGAGCGATTTGTCGGCGTTCCAGCGCGAAGAAACATCGCCATGGTCCCCCGAAGAGAACGGCCGTTACTATTTTTGTGCGTTCTTCCGTGGGATACGATCCTCTCGCCGCGATTAACGCTTCCAGTGGAAGGAAGGCCACACCGGCTCGTCGTGTATTCGAGGGATGAATTTTACAACGGAGGTATTATGCTGTACGTGTCAAGCGCGTACAGTTGTTCCTTTACCTCGGTTTGAACGGCAAACGATTTGGTGCGGTTTTAATTGTGTAATTGGAAATTTGGTTGCGCGAGGTTGTTTCCAAGCTTTTTTTTTTTTTTTTTTTTTTCTCTCTTAAAGCTTATAAGTCGTTGCATCGTTGACAGGAACGGTAAGAATTTAATGAGTAGAGAATAGATATAGAGATTATTAGAATCTTTGTTATATACTCGAGTAATTTATACACGAGGATCTCAAGTGGAAAGTATCTTTAATTTTTCTTATAAAGAAAAAAATTCATTCGTTCGCTTGGACGAGGAATTTAACGAGTATATTTTCAATCCTTTTTTTTTTTTTTTTAAATGTAAAGAGATTCTTTCTAAGGGAATCGGCAAGAATAATCTTTTACTTAAGCGTACCGATTCATCGAGTAGGAAATATTTCTTTTATTACGAGATTCTCTTAAAAAGCAGACTCGTAACGTAATAAACGATTCAAAAAAAAAAAAAAACAAAAAGAACCAACTATTTCGTAACCAAGTTACACAAGTGGATCAATGCTTAAGAAAGGGCAGAAAAATAATAAGATCGAAGAGGCTCGAGTAAAAGCGCGATTTCTATTCTCTTTTTTCGAAATTACATCCAATTCTCGTTTGCGCGATATATCGATATATCGGCTCTTGAGAAAATTTTCGATTTCTCAAAAATTCATTCACGGGCGAAAGAGAAAGAGGAAAAGAGAAATAAAACGAGAGAGAGAGAGAGAGAGAGAGAGAAATTAGGATATAAGAGAAGGATATAAGAGAGATATATCGAAAGGAGGAGGAGAGAGGACAGAGAAGAATGGAAGCATGGAGTACTTAGTGGGGTGTAAGAAATTCAATTGCTCGGTATAATATCACGGGTGAAGAAGGCAGAGAGAAGCAATCAGAAAAAGCCGCGGGCGATGGCTAAACGATCTGTGCAACGAGTTTATCCGCTTGAAAACCGGCCCGTTTCGCCCCTCTTTTTTTCGCTCTCTTCTCTCTGATATTTGTCGCCTCTGTATATACCGCTCTCACGATTCCTTTCTCGTCATTACACGCCTCGATCGTCGCGAGGCGTTCCAAACATCGCTTGGATCGTTTCCGAGTTTACAATACTCACATATACACACGAAAGAACGTGCGTGTGAACCGCGTTCCTTCAAATCCTGTTCGGCTATATTCGAAAGAATTACTTTCTCTCAAGATCCGCCTCACTCCTTTATTGCGACCAGGCGTAATCGCTTTGAATCGCTATCTCGCGGGTTTTAATTTCGAGATGGTTGCCATGAGAACGTTTTTATCGCGACTTACCCGCGTGTATCGTTTTCGCGAATGAAACGTGAATGTGAATGAAACGATTCGACGAAATAATCGCGCGAGATTTTTTTTTTTCACGGGGAGAGAAAAAGAGAGAGCATCCTTTGTGATTCTCAGATCGTTCGTAATGCAATCGAATTTTATATGCATAGTCAGTGTCAGAAGAAAATTAAATCGCGATTTATATGTTGTTTTTTGATCGATCGATTTCTCTCAATCTGATCTGCTCGCGCAAATGGTAGTAAAAGAATGATGAAAATCAAGGAAAGGAGGTTTCGTTTCTTTTTCGCGTGACGAGTCCGAATTTGGCCGTAAAAATTTTCGAAATTTGTAAAAATAAAATTTGTTATCGTACGATCTTTCTTTGTTGTTAGATTATGCTGTTATTAAATTTTATTATTCCATGGATAACAGAGATCATTTTGTCATTGAGTGTACATATGATACAGTTTAGTTGATTTCGAGGAAATATTTGTAGCCTCGAATATCGATGCGAATCGCGTTTCGAGTGATTTTAGAGGTGGAAAGCAGTAGTATCGAATCAACGTTCAATGGCTTCGAATATGCGAGTATCCAAAGAGATTTGCTAGCTATATGCCATTTTCGATGAAACTACGATGAGCATTAATTACAAACCGCGAAATTCATCCGCGTTTACTCTACGCGGATATAAATTCGCGAAGGGGTGGTTTTTTTTCTGGACCAGTTTTCCCGAAGCAATACTTTTTTTATTCAATCGTTTAATGTCCCCATTCTGGAATTTTTATTTCATAAATATTCACTGATAATTTTACACCGTGTATACACTTTTGTTACCTTTTGAAAGGTATATCGTTCTTTTGGTATCGATGTCCCTTCAAAGAATATACTTCGAAGAAAAGTGGGAATTTTTTTAATCGAGCCACGTGAAAACGTCAGGTTATAGGGAAGCCGGACAAAAGGAGGAAAAGATAGACAGCTCGAAAAGACCTCGACCAGTTTTCAGTATCGCATTAGCTCGATCAGCTCGAATGCCCCTATCTCCGTTCCATCGGCCTCCTGTCAGCGAGCTCTATCCCGATGAATGTTTAATGTGAATTTAAGACTCGTTCCTTCTCCTTCGGCCGGTCGTCAGCAACGTTTTCCCGCTCGTTGTCACGTTTTGGTGGTTTCGGTATAAATTCGCTCGTGGCCGTGGTCATAGTCACGCGAGCGCAGTGCCGTAGACACCGTAACCCCTGGGGGTGGATAAATTTGCATTCAACACGGGCGAATTATACGGCCACGAAAAGAGGCCGGTTTAACTTTCGCGATTCTCGAGGAGGCAGGGAGGGAGAGAGGGGATAAATCGTTTGATGCGCTGTCATCCGCTGTCGCTTCTTCTTCTTCTTCTTCTTCTTCGATTTGGATGATTAAATTGTTAAGCGGATGATTGTTGTTGCGATTTGTTTCGATGCGGGGAATGGAGATTGGAAATATTTGCAAAGATAATAACGATATATTAAATATCGAACGAACAATTCTGTTTGTTATTGCGAAGATTATATTATTACGATTTAATTTCAAATCATTGATTCCAAACTCGAAACTTGAGTAATTTCAAAGCGTTTATAATAATTTTTTGATTATTGATCAATTATTTTAAATATCGCTTGTAATGCTTTTTCTTCCTTTCTGATTATTAACGAAAACATACGTTGAGCTCGATTTCTTCCTCAACTTAGAATATTCAATTAACAATCTACTATCACAATCTTCGTCAAATGAAACGTAGAATGTAATGGTAGAATATAAATTATCCTCAAAGTATCTTAAAAAATTAAACATCTGCTTTACGTCTGAATTACGTATATAAGTTGGTATATCAACTGGAAGATTAAATTGCAAAAAAAAAAAAAAAAAAAAAGAAAAAAAAATTCTCACTCTATTGTCACGAAATTCCTCGTTCGCGTGACATAAAGAAGATTAATCTCTCTCTAAATTTTGTAGCCGCGTGTAACGCGAGATTGAAATAAAACGAATTTTTCATAGGTTATGAATGGAAATGGGAAACAGTCGATTCGCCATCGGCCCGATCCTCCTTCGCTTGTGTGAGTCGCACAGTCGATGAAAACGACGAGGGCGGGTTGTCGTACGTCTGACGTTGCTATTTACGATCCTGTTGACGCCTGAGCACATGAAATAATATCGCGTGGTGCCAGCCGGCGGCTGCTCCTCGGATAAGAATTATTATGGCGGCCGCAAATAGACCCGTGTATGAGTGTACTTATTATACGTGGTGGTAGAATGGTAGAATGAATTCGCTAGTGCGGGGTGGATCAAAGGGAGAAAGGAAATAAACGAAAAGATGGAGAAAATGCGAGTTCCACGAGTCTGCCACGGTGGAGGAATTTTAATTATCCGTGCCTCGTGGTCGTGGTACGTGCATGATTCGGGGTAATGATAGGTAAACTAGGAATACGGCCTCGAATAACAATGAATTTCTTCCACGCTGCCCCCTTTCCGGTGAATATCTCTCTTTTTCTCAGAAATTTGACCGTTTCGTTTCTTCTGTTGGTCGAGTGTGTTTAATCGCGACATCTATTGTCTTTTTTTTTTTTTTTTTTTTTGGATATTTCATGCATTTATGGAAATTTTAAAGAATGCAGTTGATATTTGAAATAAGGGAATGTTTTAGAAATACAGTTGTAATTAGAAAGAGTTATTTATTATATAAATTTTTAAAGTAAAATTGTGGGAATGATTTGTATGCAAGAATGAAATAAGTATATTGGAAAATTGCAAAGAAATAACAAAAATTAAACAATGTAATTAATATTAAATCCATATATTTTTTTAATCATCAGTATCAAAAAGTCATCATTTACTTTTTTGTTATAAAATTTTTAAATATTTAAATATAGTAAATTTTTGTGTGAATACAGATCAAAAAATAAACATTTTTATCGTTTTAATTGAAAAAAGAAATTTCTTGGGAAAGGAATTAAAAATTTGTTTGAATTATAAAAAATAATTCTTGCAAATAATAATGAATTAATCGATATAAAAATATATATAAATAAATATTATTATTTTTTCATGGAAATTACACTTTTTTAAAATAAAACCTATGAAAAAAACTTAATTTAAATTATTACACTGTGACCATCGGACAGTGTAATATATTCTTTCTTTTTCTTACATGCTAACTGTATTGAACAATACATGTGTATATTCAAGCGTGAAATATATTCCAAAATTTAAAGTACGCACAAAACTTACTACGACACCTATTGTTATTATCCGTTATTATTATCGTGCCGTGACCGCTAGGCGTCGTAATTCGAAATTCTCTTTCTTACGCGGATCGTCGAGCGAGGCAGACGTGTTTACACCACCGATCGTAAGATATTATTACTGCGCATATTCTAAAAGATTATTAACCTCTTTCTTTCTTCTCTTATTAAATTTCAGACCAGCGTTGCACTCGGTGAGTTCGTTCAAAGAGCAGTGGATGCAAACAACACGTGTAAACCTCTGCATCGAATTAGCAAGAGAAATATGGTTCTAATGCGAATTATTCCACGATACGGATGCTCATGGAAGAAAGAGGCTCGTGGCGCTACCGATGGAAACGGACGAAAACAGCACACAAGGAGAGAGAGAGAGAGAGAGAGAGAGAGAGAGAGAGAGAGAGAGAAAGAAGGGGGAGGAGAGGAAGAACGTTGCTCAAACATCCGAGTGTTTATCACGTCGAGTGAATGATTACAACGATGGGTGAGTATTATATGCATTTATTACGCGCGCACGGATGCGCATATACACGTGAAAAGGACAAGTTGGGCGCGTTACGCTATACGTAAAGACCGACATAAATTATCCGCGTAATGCGGACGGGGGAGCGTAATAATAACATTGTCGAGTAGCGAGTGAGAATACACCACCAGGTTTCCCTCGGCATTCCCATTCCATACCGTAGCTCCCAGTTGTCTCAAGGGATTAACTCGCCTCGTGGAACCCATGCTATACGTCTCGTGTTTCCGCTCCAGTGTCTCAAGAAGTCAACCTCGAAAGGTTCAGCCTAGATAGCTTCGCGTTCGTGTTCTATCTTTTAGTGTATGTATGTGTGTATGTGTGTGTGTATGTAACTCGTGTGCACGCATGTGTCAGCACGTGTTATATCTAGCGATGGGATCAAGTACAATATGTATTTATAAATCCAAGTGAAATCGAATGCAAAAAAGAATTGAAGAATTGAGAATTATCTTTACAGTAAGAAATATTTATTTGCGAAATATTCGTAGTTAAAATAAATATTATATGATTTCAATTTCCTTCTTCTATTTTATCTTTTTCTATTTATATAATGGTAAAAAATAATATTTTTACGATATTAGATTAGATTTTACGTTACGTTAGCATTAATTAATTTATTAAAATAAACAGAAAATTTTTAGTTTACTCGTCGAATTTCGAATTAATTCGAATCTTCTTTAAAGCATCTTTTTTCGACGATATTTACGAAAAATTTCGATTCTTATCTACTTGTGATATACTTGATCCCATCACTAGTTACACCCACACATACGATACACTTATGCGTTTCTGTCACGACGTATGAGCTTATGTTTCGCTCTCTCGAAACCGGTCGAACCTTTCCGAAATTCGCATCCGTGGTGGTGCAAGGCCCGTGGCTAATGCCTCTCGGAAGGACCGTGACTAATGGCTGTGTCATCGGATTTCACGAGCTTTCGATCCGCGTTTTTTTTAATTCGATGCATCCATTTGATTTTTCGATTGATAAACGCCGCTATACGTGTGTCACCAGCGTGTATCGAGCCCCTTTAATTCCATCGAACGTCATACGTTACCCAATCTCCTTCCTTTTTTTTTTTTTTTTTTTTTTTAATATAAATATTTCCAATTTCATTCCAATAGTTATATATATCTACATATACTACATTGACATATCCAATATCAATTTCAAATTAAATTTTATTTCCACCGCGGCAAGTAAAGGTATCTATTCCACAGATAGTGTACAATTCAGATAACGGGGAAGTTTGGTTAATCGAATATCCGGATAACGAAAATTCTACGTGTCATTTTACATTTTACGCGCAAAGCACGTATCTTTTAATTTTTAACATCGATCGATTACTCCGTTGTAATTAAAATTTCCATTCCATCCTTCTTAACACTTTCTTAAACATTTCCAATTCCATTTTCAATAATTAACGCATCCTATATATATATATATATATGTATATACTACATTAACGTCTATTCGCATTATTGCAAATACAGATAATACATCCAGTTGAGAAAATTTCGATTAATCGAATATCCGAAAATTCTACGTGTCATTTTACATTTTACGCGTAAAGCACGTATCTCTAATTTTTTTTTTTTTTTTTTATTCACGCCAGCCCAATCGATGCTCCGCGATAATTAAAATTTCGCGGAACTCGATTCGCGTAACGAACGACGGCGTTCGGCTATAATAGTTGTACAACCCTCCGCGATATATGGAGGGCGCCGTTTCGAGTAAATCCTGTGTCCCGTTATCCGGGCCAACGTTTCAATCGAAATAAATATCCGTCGCGCCACGCATCGTTGCTTGGATTAGACGTTCTTTCTGCCGCGCACCGATCGTAAAATCAACGCTCGTAAATTAACATCGAGCACCACGTGGCTCGCGTATCGCGCCATGCGATCGACGAGAATGATATGTAAATATATATATATATATATAAGTTGCACCATGCGTTCGGCCGCGGCTATATTTGTAGGACAATACAGCCGGCCGCTACGGTGCTACGGTGCGGTTTTCCGCGTTATTTTCAGTGTCGTACCGTATGACTCGCTATTATGTGCAAAACGCGTTCGCGAATCACGATTTCACGATAAGTTTGTTTGCCGGTTATTTACTCGGATCGAACCTCCACGGCTATCATAATAACCGTGATGTTTGTTCTTCATTTCGCGATAGGACAACACGTTTATTCAACCGGTAACATCTCTTCTTTTCCAGGGTTCCAGGGTTTTTAGATTGGACGAGTTTCTTTTTCTTGGCGGGAGATGGAACGATTGCGTGGAGGATTTGTTGGAGTTGTTAGGTAACAGGAGGGTAATGAATTCATTTTTATCGTTTCTTCCTAAAAATTCTTTTTGTTTCTTTTTCTTCGTTACGCAGGTTTTTACTTTTGTATTTTTTTTTTTTTTTTTTAGTTTTTATAAGTATAAGGGATTAAAAAATCTTTATATTATTTTATTAATGTAATAAATTAAAATTCTTTTTTTTTATGTTTATATTCGAAATACAAAATATTTTAAGCCTACGATGTGATTCAAAATTATCATTGACAAGAATTCGTATCTTACTTTATTTACTCTATATTTATTATTTCTTTTATATGTAACACGGCGGATAACGCGTTTTGTAATTTTTTTTTTAAAGCTGTCGACGTCTTTTTTTTCGAAATGTAGATTTCACTTTGTAAACGCGTTTAATCGATTCGTCGCGTGATTCTGCACGCCAGATAAAAGTGCTGACCGCATAACGGGTTCTGGAACGTCTTCGTTCAGAGTCGTGTAGTCACCTATATAACCACAATGTAGTTCATCGGTGATCTAAAACCCGATGTGGATTAAATTAAATACGGAATTCGAATTAACAATTCAAATCAACAGATGCACTCGAATCGGTTATCGTGGATAGAATAAAGAAAATCCATTTCTTTCGATCTATAATTTGTTGGGCCAATAGAGAATTGGATGGAACGAAAGATGAGGCGTTATTATTCATTCGAGGCTCGAATCGAAAATCGATCTTGATGAAAAGATGATTAGTCATTGCGATGGTCTATTTCAAACGTTCGTATTATCGTCTTCGAGATATCGTCGAGTTCAAACTGTATATCTTAATAACAATGAAAAATAAATCACACTCTGCATCTCGAAAAATAAACGAACAAAATTTTGGAACAGCTTAATATTATTTTATTCGATGTACGCGTGCCAGAATAATGTAATATAACGTAATACAAGATTCGTATAATAATATACGGATGAGATGAAAACATTATTCATTATTATAATATAACATTGTGATATACAATGATAATACAAAAAAATTCGTGAAACGTGAATCTTACCTTTTTCAAATAAATTTTTTTTAAAAATTCTTCGTATTTTCATCGGTCTTTCTGGCAGAAAGAGATAACGACAATTTAATAATAATAATAATATTAAAAAAGAAAAAAATGATCTCATCTTAAGAGAAAATCGAAATAATTCTCGCCAGATGGTCGATCTAAGGAACGATATTTCGTTTTCGTTGTTTGTCTTTAATTTTCGAGACGGATTCGATTCCCTTCTCTTCCCCTCTTTACCTCGTCGTTACCTCGTAACGCGGCCTGGCCAGGCAAGGTGCATTTATTTTCATGTAAATATGCTTCTCGCTTAGTAGCACCACGAAAAGGGGGACGTCAATCAAAGCGATAAGTATGCGGGCTACTTCAAAGCGAATACTGATTGTAAGTTAAAGCTGGCCGGGCCGTAAGTCGGCCGGGACATTGTTAAAAAGGAGAGACTGTTCGCTGTCGGAGGGCGAACGCGATAAATGCCCCGCGTGCTCGTTGGATAAAGACCTCTGTCAAAGTTGGCACATGCAATAAACCTTTGGTCAAAACCACGAAAAAACACAATGGAATCGGTCTTAACCGGTGATCTCGAATCGTTCCAGAAGGAACCTGTTGTCGTCGCTTAAACACATTTCTCGTGTGTTTGCTGCCTGTTGAACGAATTCAATTCAATGGATATAATTGCGCGGAGAACGTTCGAATATCGATGGACGGGAGAGGGATATATTTAAGATAAATGTTTGGAAGATCGAAGAAAGTTTGTTTTCTCGTTTAATTAATTGAAAATTATTTATTTTTATAAATACGTATCGTGTATAATTATTAAACGCAAATGAAATGACCGAATTCTTCTATCATTTGTATATTTAATCGAGGCCCAAACACGAATCTGATGCGCGACAAATATTATTTAACGATACATTTAATTACTAAATTCCGAATAATTTTCCATATTTGTGAAATATTCGATCACGTGCAATGATCTAATATTTAGATACGCATTATATAAGCTAATAATTCTAATTCTAGTGTTAATAATAATTGATTGAAATTTAAAATGTCGACAGAATGGAGGCAATTTCAATCGATTTCTTCTCTTCTTCCGCACATTAAATGATAATTTTCAAAATAAGATGTTCTTTTCGTAAATTTATCGCGATTCACGTATTATCCATTCGAAAAGAAGATTATTACAATTCAATACGTGAAAAGGTAGATTTCACGTTGCTCGTGTGGTTTATGAAGTGTGCGGAACCTCGAAACCGCATCTTTTGAATTTGTCTTCACAAAGGATGGCAACATTCGGTCGTTTCCTTTTTCCTATCAATACACACGCAATATTCACGATCCATATATATATATTCACAATCTCTCTCTCTCCCTCTCCCCCCCTCTCTCTTTCTATAAAAACTTTAATCTTTTCTCCGTGTGTCTCTTTGAGAACGAAAATTGGAATGAATTCCTGACAAATTGCAAAAACGTCAGCCGACCGCGGATTTTCATTTTTTCTTTTTTTTCTTTTTTACTTTCCCTCCCTCCTCTCCATTTTTCGTTTTCGGAGGAAAAAGGAAAAAAAACCCAGATTGGTTGGCATATTTATTAGCTAATAAATTTCACAATACGATTCATACATCCATTTAAGTTTACTATAAATTTTTCGATATTCTCCCCTTTCGAAATTCGGTTCGAAACGACGAATTAAGAATCGCGATACTTCGATTAAACGCATAATCTAATATTTATTCGCAAACGACGAACATTTATATACGATATACGGATATATTTATCTAAGTTGCGTTAAAAGAGGCGATCGTTTGAAATCCCCTTTCTTTTACCTCTCGGTACCACGATCGGGTAACCCTTGTTTTCGAAAATTCAACTTGAGTTCCCGAAACGCTAATAAAATGATTCACGTTCGCAAACACGTAATTAATATCGATGGTAATTAGAAGTACATATTTGTCTGTCGCTAGGGAATTAGGCAAGGTACACGAGGCCGGTAGAGTGTGTACACCTCTATTTAGGTCGCGAGCTGCTACGCGTCTATTTTCCGCCCACGTGTATGTATATATATATATATATATATATATCTGTGTGTGCGTGTGCGTGTGTGTTTCCTCGGCCAAAGGGAGAATGTCGAGCGTTCGTGATTTTTGGTCTATTTACGTATAAAATCGAGCGAAATATCGAGAGATCTATTTATCGAGGCTGCGGACGCACCGCGGACGAGATAAATTTCACGCGATGCTCCCTGTACACGCGATCATTCAACGATATTGGAAAAACCATTTTTCACTCTTTTTCCTCCTCCTCCTCCACCTCCTCCCTTCTCCCTCCCTTCGTAGTCGAAAGTAAACACAGGTTGGTCAACCCGTTTCATAGTAAACAACTTCCACTCTGTTTCTCTCTCTCTCTCTCTCTCTCTCTCTCTCTCTCTCTCTCTCTCTTTCTCTCTCTCTCTCTCTCTCTCTCTCTCCTCTGCAACGTTTCGGACTTGTCATAGTATGTCCGAGAGGCTCGAGTTATCCACTCTATAAATTAAACTGTGAAATGAAAACGGACGAAAAAAAAAGGAGGGGAGGGAGAGGAAAAAAAAGAGGGAGGTAAAAAATATTGCGGGGGATATCGCGCCCGGTATCGACAGTTTGTCGCCATACGTTTTTTTTTTTTCCTTTTCCTTTTATTATTTCATTTATTTTTCCTTCTTCCATCGTTTCTTCCATCATCTCGTACATATATATACACCTTCACTCGTTCTCTCGTTGTCCAAATCGAACAATTAAAATTCACGGGAAGGAAAAATTCATTCGTTTTTTTTTTATATTCCCTCTCTGTTCTGCAACCCTTCCCCTCCCCTTGGCTCTTTGTCACGCGGCCCGTGACATATTACACTGTACATTCGGGATGAGGCCGCCGTGTGTGTTTGAAGGTGGACAGGATAAGAGAGGAGGAGGAGGTGGAGGAAAAGCGGTAGTGGCGTGACGTGGGTGGGGGGCCAACCACCGTAATACTATTTCAAGTTTCCGTGCCGTCTGTGGACGGTCGTCCTGCCGCGTGTGGCATTACTGCTTAATGTCACGTACCGATTCCCTTACCGACGTGTGACCGAGAACGAGCCACCTCCGAGAGCCGTCCTAAAAATCCTTAGAGATGGCCCTGGAATACGAATCACTAAACGCTGTTATTCCCTGTGAGCTGGCTCTCCGCACGACGACGGGCTCGCCTCGTCGTGTGGTGGCCGGGACGATTTTTCTCGGGAGGAGGTCGAGGAAAATTTTATGCGATCAAAGGAGGCCGATACTTTAAGGGTTTCGGAATGTTCGAACGAGGGCGTGCATTCGACAAATCCAGTTTATCACGTTTATCGCTCGCCGATTTCGTTTCCATTTCGAGCAAATTTACAGAAGAAAAGAAAGAAGATGGATTTTAAATGGGATAAAAATATACGCGATGATTATATCGGTGGTGCAATGGCAGAGTTAAGCGCTAATCCAAAGTTGGAAAAGTAACTCGAGTTCAGAAATAAAGGTACTTCGAGTAATTATTCGTTAGCAATTGATTTCATACAATATCTTACAGTTATTTGCTATCATTTTGTCTCTCGAACGATAAATTATCGAAGTAACTTTAAAATTATTAAATTTTCCATCACCGTGGAATGGTTCAATTGGAAAAATGGAAGGATACGATAGAAGGCATAGTAGAAATAATCAAAATTGTTACAATTTAATTATTTAAAAATTGGTAACAGTCGAAACAATTTAAAAAAAGGAAGAAGAAAAAGAAGGAAAGAATATAAAGATAAAACGAGACACTATCTCACGCTTGATTTAAATCGAGTCTAATCTAATTTGTAAGTCAAAAGCCCCCCCACGTCTAAGACACGTGCAATCTCGCTCAAGGAGTAACCTAGTCCTAATTCGGATCCAATCTAATCTAACCCGCGCTTAGTCTGCGCATAGTTTAAACGTAACTCTATCCCCCTCCCGTATTAAACGAGCGCGGCTAAATCGCTAAATCCATATCCGATACAAAAGAAATTCATTGAATTCTATATATATATATATGCATACACGCCTCTCAAGATCGATACGACGATCGATCGTAGGTTCGATTCGAAACCTTCGTCGTTACGTTACCAAGGGATTCAATTCATTAAAAATCACGCGCGTGTAATTGCATCGATACAGAGGCGAGAGAACGGACGAACGTGCATCGTGGACGAATCGGAGAGTGAGAAGAATCGCATAACGACGAGAGCAATTTCTCGGTCTAATCGGCGTCGATCGATCGGCCGAACTCCACCGTGGTAATATACCGTTCCCTCTCGACCGCTAACGAACGAGTTTCTTCGTTCGCCCTTCGAGTACATGCGCGCACACCTCTCTTGGTCGTCTTGGTCTGGTTGCAGAATGCGATGGAAAAAGAGAGAGAGAGAGAGAGAGAGAGAGAGAGGTGGCCTCGTAAAAGGTCACGGTGAAGATTCGTACGAAGTGGGTGTCGAGATATCTACTGGGTGGCTGTGTGGCCAGACGAGGAGAGGCAGGAGTGGTGGAGGGGAGGGGGAGAGGAGTATATGATTACAGGAGAGCGCGGTGTATTCAGTTCGGGTAGTCGTCGTTTCAGACACGAGGCACGTAGCATATTATCATCGTTACGCGGTGAGGACTGAGGCCGTTCAGTTGATACAACTTTGGTACACGGCCATCCGTGGCCTTACAACCCCGTGTCTTCCATCAGTTATAACCACGATGCTTGGATACCGTGGTTCGAGCCTCATGAATAAGGCAAACTCCGCCGTTATGTCTCCATTTCGAAACGCCCTCTCACGAAACTTTTCGATGCTGCTTCC